CCTTCTGGACACATTAATTAATCTTTAAACCTCAATTTCTAGCTGTAAAATAAGAATAATAATAGCAATTGCTTTAGAGAACTCTTAAGATTAAATAAGATACTACATGTGAAACATGTATTGAGCACATAGAAAATGCTCCATAATGATAATTACTAATCGAAATTATATCAACTTTGGCAGTATTTTTGGAATAAGCGCCTAACCTGGAGATAGAGATGATAAAGACTTCAGTGTGGTGTCTCTGCCATGTTTCTCAGTTGATACATGATGATCGTTTTAGAACCACAACACCTATAATTGTGCAACCTGCATTTTGTTTTATCAAGGTGCCATTTGTTGCCCACTAATAGTGTGCCAGGCACTATGAAAGGCATACGATGCACATCATTTCATATAATCCTTATAAGCAGCCTTTGAAATTATTATTATCATACCCACTTTTCAGACGAGGAAACCAAAGCTGAGAAGATATCAGCAGCTTTCCCAAAGGTACCTGACTGGGTAATACTGGAGCCAGACTTGGAGTCAGGCAGCTAGTACTAACTTCTCACTAAGAAATAATTACAAATTTCAGAAACCATTGTTTATTGTAGATAAATATATTTTTTAACCTTTTCATTACAAACATTTCAAACATATATGAAAGTAGGAAGAACATCACTTTGAACCCTCCCTAGGTACTCATTCAGCTTCAACAATCTATCAGCTCATGGCAAATTTGTTAGATACATGTATATTTCCAAAATGGAAATAAGCTGTATGTTTAACTCTAGGGGGACTGGTTAAGAGTATTATGATAAATACACTAGATAGAATTTTTGAGCCATTAAAATGCTTATAAAGAGCTTATAATAACCTGGAATATTTGTGATACATATTAGTTAAAAGGCAGCATACATAATTATACGTACTGTATAATCACAACTATTTTTATTTAAATAATACCTTGTGGATCTTGGAAATCTCACATTCAGAAACTTTAGAATATTTTTTTCAAAAAAATTGCTTTTCTGTGTTTCCTAAATTGTATATCATGAGCATATTTTATTTTTAATAATACAAAAATTATTTTCTTAATATTCAGAAAAATATATAGGTTACTTGTGTGAAGAGAGGGCTTATTTATCTGACTTCTCTATGGCAATCAATTTTTATACAACAGAACATCCCATATAACAGTTCATCTTCTCTTAATTATCAAAAGATGTATTTTATTTTAGTAATACTGTTTCTATATATAATTTCTTAAATTGATATACATGTCCAACTTTCTTCAGACATACTTACCATAATTTAAAGTTTCTAAATGACAAAGGGTTATCATCTTAAACAGTCATCGTGTTGTGTTGCTACTGATGCTGATAAGGATGCGGAAGTATAAAAATAAGGCTGTATATTTTAATATTATTTTGTGGTTTCCAAGCAGTTCCATGTGGCATTAACCATTTAGTCCTTAGTCTATGATATTATTTGCTTCTGTGTTTATTTACCTCAGACTGCTATATTTTTAGTTCTCATGTCGCCTTTTTACAGTTTTTATTTACCTTCTTTACCTATCAAGTTACTTCATGTTGTACAAGCTTTAGGATCCCTGTTCCCCCTCTAATGAACTACTTCTAATATGATTTGATCTAGGAAAACAACCAACTGGCATTGTTTAGGCTGTGTATAAAGTCCAGCATTAACTCATTCATTTGACAAATGTTTGTGAGCAGTGTACTGTGTACTCAGGATACACAGATAGACAAGACACCCGTCCTGCCCTCAAAAAAGTTTTAATCTGGCAGTAGAGCTGAGACATGTGCCTCTTTTGCTAGAACCTGCGTACAAAGTGATATGTTCTCTGAATGTAGTACAAATAAAATATTATTGGCGTTATAAGAAGGACTAACTGGGGGTTTTACCAGAGAGGTATGTCATGGGATTTGGGTTTTAGGGGGCAAGGAGGCCTTGAGCATACAAAGACAGAAAAAAAAAAAAAGAATTCTGAAACCACGAGCAAAGCCCAGAAGAATCAAAGGGTAAAAACTCTGCAAAGAAGTAGTAGAATTTAGCTACAGTATGGAGTGTAAAAACGAGTAGTGGGAAATAAAGTGGTAAATGTAGATTGGGACCAGAAAGTGAAAGGACTTGATTACCATACTAAGGAATTTGGACTTTATTCAGTAGACAAGGGGGAGCTATTGAAAGTTTTTAGTAGGAGAGTAACATAATCAGAGCTGTGCCTCAGAAAGATTAATCTGGCAATGGTGAATGAACTGGATTGGAGTAGGGAGAGACCCGAGGGCACAGATCAGGCAGGAGACTATCACAGCAGTCCAGGGAAAGGCAATGAGGGCCCTAACTAGGGCAAGGGCAGAGGGCAGGAACAGTGCTGGTGAACTGATTTACGAGACACAGCAGAAGGAGAATTAATCCATTCTATTTGGGGAGTTAGGGAGAGAAGGCACCAAGACCTCGCTGTGATGTTCAGCCTGAGTAGGGCCATAAAGAGAAGCAGAGAGCAACAGAGGGGGAGCAGCCTGGGAAGGGGAAATTTAATTTTAATTTTGAACATACTGAGTAAAGGTGCTGACTGGGTATCCACGAGAGACCCCCTGGGCTTTTGGAGACATGAGACTACAGTGCAGCAGAAGGGCCAGGCTCGGAGATGCAGACTGTCAGTTCTTGAGTTGCCTCTGTCTTAAGGACAAAGAGGCAGGAGGCAGAATTATCAGAGACCTGAGGTATTATTATCGGCCTACTTGATGCCACTTTTGGCTGCTTACAGGTGTTTTCCACTTTCTTTCTCTTCTTAACAGGATTTGAAATGCCACATAAGTGACTTGCAGATGGGTGAATTATTGTTTTATACACATAAACATACAAATATAAAGTAATGCAGTAGCTTGGAATATAGCTAATGGGGTCAATTTCCCATTATCCACAGTCTTTATCTGCACATATAATATATTCCTGTGTGACCTTAGAGAAGTAAGTGTACGTCTCAGGGCTCAGATCCCTCATAAGTTAAATGAAGAGGTTAATTAAGATCCTTGGTCCCCATAACTGGCTGCAAGCAGCCAAAACTAACATTATATCAGAACCACTTGGAGAAAGCAGTGGAGAGTCCCAAGGCTCAGCAATCTTTATTTTCTAAACCTTCCTATGTGATTCTGATGTGCAGCCTGGGTTGGTAACCACTGGGCTAGACATTCTAGCTCTTCCATTCTGAAGTGTTATCAATATTTAGACAAAATGTGCTTTCTTTGCTACAGCTCACTAATAAGAAAATGTGTCCAAAATAATTAGTTGACTGTCAAATTCCATTTTTCTGTAACAAAGTCCTCTCCTCTCTCCTTTAAGTTAGGAGTAAGATATAAAGTGTAGTTGAAAAGCACTGTCATTTAGAAGTCTCCTGCAATGTTATAAAATGTGAAGATATGTTGGGGGTGGAGGGCAAATGGAAGGGACTGAAAACCAGGAAGGTAAGACTTGTGCACACAGCACGTTCTTCTCCCCCACCGCCGGGAGCGCCCACACGCCCACACTTCACCTGCGCCTGTGCTCTGCCATTGATTTTCGTGTTCCAGCTGTGCCTGCTGAGTGTGGGCCTTGCACTGCCTCTGATTGTACTGCCAGATTGTATAAACAAGCATCTCAGGAGCACCCATGCAGACTGTCTTAGTCCATCCAAGCTGCTATAACAAATACCATAAAATGGGTAGCTTATAAACAACAGAAGTTTATTTCTCACAGTTGTAGAGGGTGAATGTCAAGATCAGGATGCCAGCATGGCAGGGTGAGGGCCCTCATCTAGACTGCAGGCTTCTTTCTATACTCACATGGCAGAATGGACTGGGGAACTCTCTGGAGCCTCTTTAATAAGAACACTGATCCCATTTTCATCAGGGTTCTGCCCTCACAACCTTAGCACCTCCTGAATGCCCCACCTCCTAGCACCATCACATTGGCATTAGGATTCCAGCACGTGAATTTGGGGAGGGGAACACAAACATTTAGACCACAGCACAGATGCAGCACAAGTCTAAAATGGAGTAGAAAAGCTTATTGAGATTCTACTGTGGGCTCATCTTTAATATACCTCCTTGCTTGTTTTTCATCAGACATTTCATAATTTAACTTGTACATAACTCTATCATTACAGCAATATCTCAGCCTTCAGAGGAGATACATTCTGAAGGCCCGCCCCCCCCCCCCCGCCGCCGGGACCTAGAGCATGTGTGCTAGGCCACTCAGGCAGAAGGAGCAGGGAAATGAGGTATCAGTTCTTTCTCCACTTTGTATTCTCTTTCTCCCTTCCTTCCACTGAGGAAACAGTTTGCTGAATTTGACAGGTTAGGCTGGATTAACCTGGCCTGGAGAAACAAGGTAGACTTTCGGTCATCTGCAAGTTTCCGCTTTCCAGACAAATTTTGACATCCCAGTTACTCAACAAGTATTTTCTGAGAAGCTGCTATAAGTAGGATATTCTGCTCAGTTTTTACATCAGAAATTAGCAACCATTTGCAGTTTTGATTGCACACTGGCTACTACCAAAATTCTAAACATAGTGAAGAGTAGACCTAATGACAGTGATGATACTTGTATATTACATTTATATAGATCTTAGTGGTGTTTTCAGAATTCTGTTTGATACACTCCCCTCCTGTATGAAATCCTCTCTTCATTTGAATCACCACCCAGCACCCTCTGCCCACTCTTCAGCTCCAGTTATCCATTACCTTCCCCCAGTCAAACTGTAGCTTCTTGACTTTAATTACACTCAGTTAGGTGGTCTGGTAACCTCATTAAAGTAATTTACTCCAAGGTGTGAATGAGATTTAACCCTCTTGAAAAACTTGTATTTTAAAGGAGAAGCTTATTAGACAACTGGGTATTTCCCCCTCCAGCTTACTACCCCCCACATATTTTCTCTCTCTTCCTTCCTGTCTCTCTTCATCTATCCCTATCCCTATCTCTATCTCTCTCACATGTCCATGTCCCAATACTTTTTTTTTTATATGGAACACTTCATGAACTTGCATGTCATCCTTGTGCAGGGGCCCTGCTACTCTTCTCTCTGTATTGTTCCAATTTTAGTGTATGTGCTGCTGAAGCAAGCAAGCCCCTGTACTTTTAATGCCACGTGACACTCTCTGTGTCAGACACCTGTGGCCTCCCCTATGATGGACCAACCACCTTAGTTCCTAATCTGGTCCCACTCCAAATCCTGAGTTGTGGCTCCATCTTCTATTTAAAATCTTATTACTGCTCTTTAAATGTACCTCTTTAGATTCTGTCCCCTGCTCTCAGAGATAGTTTAGTAAAATAGCTGTGGAGAGAGATCCCACTTACTGTGCATGTGACATAGGCAAGTTATTTATCATCTCTAAATCTCTGTTTCCTCATATGTAAAGTGGGCATATTGGGAGGATTAAATATGATATATAAATAGGGTCAGTAACACTTTGTTGAATTCAGTACATACAGTGACTATTATTAATATGATTATCTCCACTCCCCCTAGTGCCTTTGATTTGGATTCCCTCTACTGGTTGTACCTTAGAAGATCCAATTCTTGAGTGTTCTGTGCTGGTCTGAACTAGTTTCCTAGACCTGACCTTTTCAGCTAGCTTACACATGAAGAAGATAATGACAGAGACCAACTTTGCTGAACAAAGACCGGTCATAATTTTATAAATACAAACATACATGTGATGATAATAAAAGGCAAAATTTGAAACCAGGGCTATTTCAAGAAGTCAGAGACTTATGACTTCTGTACCTTTTCTTAGACCATGAGTTTTATACTCTGAATGAAGATGAATTTAAGTCACAAGGTAGTGCTCAGCATAATTAAGAATGTGACCTCTCTGATAACCCATTGTATTAAGAATGCAAAGTCGATTACAAACTGAGGAAAATTGTTTACATTTCAAGGAGGTATTTCTCTCCCCCAAAAAAGAAAGGCAGATCTGGGGTTGCACTGAAACTCCACCACTTAAAATCCATGGACAAAAGGATGCCAAAGCCTCACATTAATCTGTTCCTGATAAGGAAACTGAGGCTCATATAAGTCAAACAAGATTAATGAGCCCATTTTGCACACATATTATGAAGGTTAGAAATTATGTATAAAAGGGGGGCATATTGTTTAGTGTAAATGAATACATTTCCTCAAAATCTAGAGCCAAGTTTCTCTCCAAGATGAAAAGGGACTGAAATTGTGTCCATCTTCTATATAGCTAAGCTATATTTAAAAACAAACAAAAACATATCTAGCTTCTGTAGAATATGGGAATAAACATTTTCCACATTTATGTTTTTAACCCCAATTTTCCCAATAAGTATGTCCAGATAGGTTGAATATTAACAAAGTATATTTTTCAACATTGGTTTATAAAAAAAGAAGTTTTCAATGGATTCCTAATGTAATTTAGCAGTATAGTGGCATCTCTTATTATTTTATAAGGAAAGCTGGATAATCTGAGTGTGTGTCATTAAAAAAAGCCATGAGCAATGATCACTTAACATTTTATGGGGAAATACATGAGGACTTAGTGAAACTTCAAAAGACAGACTTCATATTTTGATGTTTCATGCCTAATTTCCAAATAGAAATATTACACTTAACTACATAAATCTTGAATATTTTAGATAAGTTGAAAAATTACACGCTGAGTGTTTTTTGTTTCTTATTTTTAATGAATCAGTAATTTTGACCTTCGTTCCATATGCCTCTTTAATTTATGGTGAATAAAGTAATACTGATTTTTTTCAAAAATTAATACACAATCTCAAGCCACGAAGTTTTTCTAAATTATGGTATTTCCAATGGCAAATGAAATAACATGCTGTGCGTGCATTTAGTGATTTGAAACAATTTGAACATCATGATAAAAGTTGGGGGGATTACAAGCAGTGTTATAATTAAAGGTCTGTTGATTCTTCAGTTTAAATGCCATTGTTGAAAGATTTTTCACTCAGATGTCAAAGTCTGTGGCCAGCTGAAACTTGGCATGCTAGAACTCAGCCCAGGGAAACATTGTGTTCTACAGATTTAAAAACTGAAATCTGTTAAGAACAGAAATGTTGGGCTTGGGCTGATTTCTCATGAATCAGAACCAGAGTATAGCCAAATACCACCTCCTCTTTACGAAAGGAAGTAGTGCAGGTGGATGTTAATGGGAAATGTTTGTTCAGATGGAAAATGAAGGGAAATTAACATTAGATATCATCCTACAGAGCACTGGGTTAAAGTTTTATATCATTAAAATATGTTTATTAGGGAAATTCTAAACATTTTAGATGCTTCATCTAGTTAATAGGGAGCCAGGTTTACCCATCTTCCAAAATTTGTATATTGAGGTTCAGGTTCTCCACATCACATTTCTTATTATTAGAAAAACTTGGAGCAAAATTTTATTTACTTAACTCACTACATCAAAATATATTTCCAAACACCTTATTTCCTTTTCTTTCATTTGGAGGCTACAGTGGCCTGTGACCTCCATCTATCCAGCTAACCCATAGAATTTTTTTTTTCTTTTTTTGGTCCATAGAGTAACTTAAAATAATTTGAGAGTTTGAGCCAATCTTTAAAGGTCAAAAGATCTCACCAAAAGCCCAGAGTTTTCTAGATTTCTTATAAATTTGAGGATCTGGTGAGATGAGACCTATATTCTTACATAGACCAGATATTTAGAATTGAGCAGTAGCTGCTCCATTCAGACAAGCTATGACCTCTCCAGTTTAACAAAGTATTTATTATCCCATATTTTATGCCATATCTACTTCATGCATTCACTACCACCCTGGTTCCTAGGAGAATCTGACTTTTCTTTCTTTGCTTGTGGCAGATGTATTGTTTCCTTGCTCTCTGCTTGTGGTAGTAAGTTTTAAAGCTTCGAAAAATTTATTTCCAATAAATAATGGCATTGCAAACATTATGCACAAAGCTACTCAACAGAGCATTATTGAAAATGACCAAATTAGAATATAACTAAAATGTCCAAAATAGGGGATTACTTAAATATATGATATATCCACATAATGGAATACTATGCAGGGCTTAAAAATATTTGTCTTAAAAGAATCAGCTTACAAAAAAATGTGTACAGCAAGATTGCTGTTTTCTAGGAGAAAAAATGTTTATACATATAGGAAAAAGGTTACCTTAGGGAAGTGTTAGAAAAATCTATACAAATAAGTTAAAAAGTAATAAGCCCTAAGGGTAGCTTTTGTAGATTCCCTTCCCTACAGCTTCCTTACTCCATTTTGACACTCCATTTTGACGTAACTTTTGGAACATGTCCTGAAGCTATTTTTTCAATTCTCATCTAAAGCTGATTATCCTTCTTGCCATTATTCTTTAGAGGATACAATCAAGAATGAGATTTCCATAATTGTTTTAAATACTTGAAAAATATTATTGCTCACCCCCATACTAGACTACCACCATGGTAAAGCAGGAGAACCGGTTCCCACCTTGGCCTGGAATCAATTTGTTCTCCCAAAGCACCTTTTGCTGATACCAAAAACTATTCAAAATTTTTTACGAACCTCTTGGAACAGACAATTTATATGTAAATATGTGCTTAATAGCATGAACACAAAAACTTGTAGGGGGCTGGAACTGAAACTCATCATCACAAAGGCATCAACTTTGTACCCACCATAGGAAGCAAAGCCCACAGGTAAAAGCCATCTAAGCATTTATGAAAATTCTTCTGAACCCAGCACAATGCCTGACAGATGGGAAAGGCTCCAAAAGTATTTGTTAAATAAAATATGAATAAATTTGCACTCCCACTAAGGAGCCATTGACATATGCATCAAAAAGTCATCATTTAAATAAAACTCAAACAATCAAATTTGGACTTCACTCATAAGACTTTCAGACATAGTTTGGGTGCTTCAGAATTAATAATGCCATAAATTTTTTCCCAGAAAAAGAAATGTTTGTTTATGTGTGTTTTATATGTGGTTTGGTGCATGTATGAATTTGGGGAAAGATGGGTGCAGGGACGAAACCTCTAGCTCTTAGCCTCATCCTCATGGCAGTGCTAGCTTCACTGTTTTGGATTTGACTGTTTTGACCCTCAATCTCCACTTCTCCAGAGCATTTCTCACCTTTTGGTTCCAAAGCATCTGTTTTCATGATTCCCTTGTTCCTCTGAATGATACTTGCTCCTTCAACCAGTCTTCCTTTATCTGCCTACAAAATGTAAGTTTGCCTTTCTTCCCTCACTGTGTCCATGAAGTCTGCGGTTAGTTTCATGGAAAACATATAGCTACAACTGGGTATTCATATCACCTCCCTGAAGATCTGAGTATCTAGTCCTGGCCTGTAGATTCTGGTGCTATCAACATGGATTTCCAGCTGCCAAAAAGACATTGCCACCTGGATGTGCCACCATAGCACCTCAGTCCTATTGGTCTCCTTTGCATAACCCAGAAGCTAATCAAATTAACCCCAAATATACTTTGTGCTTTTCTTATCTGCATGCTTTTATTCTCTGTCCCTTGCCTAAAACCTCTCTCTCCAAATTCTACCTGTTGGAACTTTTCCCATATTCCAGAGTCCATCACAAATACTGTCTCTTCAGGTAACTTCTTTCAGTGTCCATGATCAAATGATATTCCTCAAGCCATGAGCCCTACAGAATTTTGTTAGCAACCCTTTATGGCATTCACTTTATTTTGCATTGTATTTTAGTTATTAAGTTTTCATGTTCTTCTGTATTCTAAATATTAGGTTTATGGCTCCTTACTTATCTTTGTAGCTATTTTCTAGAGCTCAGTCCTAGCAAAGTCTTTTGCTGATAGCAAATCATTCATTATATATTGAATTAAATTAGGTTTATGTATTGACAGTTGTACGTGTGCTATGATTTGAAACACCCAGAAAGCCCACCCACCCAAGGTGTCTCCCCTACTTTCCAGTCCATAATATCCTACTTTGGAGACTTTCTCTTCAAAGGGGATTTTCCACTAAGTTGTATCTTTTTGTTCTTTAACAAGTAAACTATTAACTAATAAATACTTGAATTTCACTCCCTCCCTCCACCTTCTAAGATCTACTTACTATCACCTAAGAGGGAGCAAAGTCTTAAAAGAA